GTCTTTAACTGGAACGCCGTCTGGGTGAACCCGGCGGGACTGGCCTATGACCGGCGGTCATGGCTGAAGGCTGATGGAGGAGGCAGTGGGGGACTGTTCATTGCATCACTCGATGGTGGTGATGGAGTAGGTGGTGATGGTGGTGCTGCTGCCTCAGTTCATACTCGAATTATCTACAAACTGGAGGATGGCATCCCACTGAATCCCTTTGGTCGGACGGGTCTGCGCGGCAAGGGCAATCTGCCCCGCTGGGGACCGAATCACTACGTCATGCTCATTCTCACCCGAAGTCGAACTGGCGGAAGTTCTTCTGCTCCGCTGCTGGAGTTTGCACTCGAACTCAAGTCTAACGTTCTCTCCTTGCCTATGGTAATTATTGTGTTTGGTTGTGTGGTTGATTACTTGTCTAATATCTGAACTTGTTTACAGCGTTTCGTCAGCGATGACAATCCGTTCAGTGAGATTTGCCAGCTGCTTTCACCTCAGCAGCATCAGAAATCGCATCAGCATCAGCTGCCATCGTGGACCAGTGAACAGGAGCTCTTTGAGTACTTTCAGTCAAAGATTGAAGAGGCTCGTTCCGGAGCAGCATCTCCGGGCACGCTTCCTTCTGCCGCCGCTGCCACCATTCGCACCGAGTCAGCCGTCCACTACATGGACAGTCCGGACAACACTGACAACAGCTGGAAGGAGTTGCAACTGTACCACATTCACTTCAACTGCACCTCACCCGCCGGCACACAGCTCACTGATGCTCTCCTTTCTGGTGGAGGCAGTTCTGCTGCTGCTGCATCAGTGTCTTCTGGCGCTGGCCAACAGCAATGGTCTTCCTCCCGGACCGGAAGCACTCTTCTCTGGCTCGTCTCCACCGAAGACCTTCTGGTGCGCATTCCCATGGAGCAGGTCTCATTTATGAACGCCATCATCAGGCGACTGCAGCCCGGTAAGTGAAGGCTAGGGAAGAATCAACTACTGAGCACCCGGTCAAAACGCCTATCAAAATACTCACACACCCTTAACACCCACCCATTACACTGAAGCTACTTAAACACGTCACACTGTGTTTTAACACGGAGTTTTACTTTCTTTATTTTATATAATCTTATCCTGTGTGTTAGTGAATTAGATTTTAGATAATTGATGAAATGTTGGTAGAAATACGAAATATGAATTTCTGGAAAACTACCTAATAAATGTGGAGACTTGAAGATAACTTTTTTTGCATCACCTGTGACTTAAATCATCTCTCCATCTCTCTAGACTTTTCTTTCCCAACTGAGCATCACTTCATTTGATGCACTACCTTATCACACTACCTGGTGCAACAACAGCTTTGGAAACAACAATCGCCGTAAATAAAAACCCCACTTAATTGAAAACAGACAATCTCAAGTTGAGGTTGAGTTTCACTTTGATGATAACAGCGCAGTGATGATGATACATCATTCTGGCAAAGTACTGCAGTTAAACGGTGACTAAAAAAGTGTGGTTTGCGACTTATCATCGGTGATAGGTACTTGGTTTAATAAGTTGATTAGAAAGGCGACCGCTTGCCACAAGCTCTTGTCTAAAGTTTACCTGGAGTTTCTTAATTTAGGTGCTCGTTGAGTACAAAAGTCAAGGCAAGTGGTGAGATGGGCAGTCGCGGTTTTCCACATCAAATGAAGCAATTGTAATAGAATTGGACTTTCAGTATTGGTCTGACTTTAGCTTTGCACAAAATTAAAGTGTTTTGAGTAAACACGAGAGCTTTTAACTTTTAAAATTTAAAATTACACAGGTGTTTTAAGCAAACAGCTCTTTCAATAACGCCTAATCTTGAGTAACCCCAATTAAGATGAGCTTTTTATTTTTGTATTATTAGTTGGATAATCTCACAATAGTAGCCGTAGTAGTTTTAATTGAAAGTATCAGTTTTTAATTTGACAATGAAAATCTACTCCATCGATTTATGCATAAGCGGCAATTGATTTTCATCAGGATTTCCGCCAAACCCACACATTGTTACCGGAACAGGTTACGTAAAACGTTAGAAACTGGTTTGCACTGTTTATATAAAGTCACCCCTTTTTCTGCTGGCACATCTCAGTCACTTCACGGCAAACTTAGCCAAAAGTTGTTATTATTTCCAAACATGAAGTTCTTTAGCTGCCTAGCTCTGCTGGCCACCGTGGCCACACTAGCCTCGGCGAACCACGAGATTCGCATTCACAACAACTGCAAACACCGCATTTGGCCGGGTCTGCTGAACAATCCGGGCAAGGCACTGCCTGATGCGGGTGGATTTCCCCTAGATGCCGGACACACCCACGTCATTCACGTCAGGTTTGTAAAATTTCTAAAACAATGAAAATGGACTCACATTTTTAACTTTTTTTTACTTTCAGCGATGGTTGGGCCGGTCGAGTCTGGGCACGAACTGGCTGCAACGGCGCTGGCCACTGTGAGACGGGAGATTGCGGTAACGATTTGCCTTTTTAAGTTTATGAGTTTTTTAATTGTTCATTTTTCTGCAGGCAACAAAATCCAGTGCCACGGAGCAGGCGGCCGACCGCCGGTCTCTCTGGCCGAGTTCACCTTTGACGGCCACGGCGGCATGGACTACTACGATGTCTCCCTTGTCGACGGCTACAATCTGCCCATTCAGATCACACCTATTGCCGGCACCTTCCGCAAGGTGGGCAACTCTCACTACGACTGCAATGCTGCCGGCTGCCACGGCGATCTGAACGGCCACTGCCCACATGAGCTGGCGCAGAAGGGC